AAGAGTGATTATGTTAATCGATGATTTTTTTCATTACACAGATAAGTGCTAAAAGTTGATTATGTTTTTATTCGTTGGAAGTTTTCTTTGAAGATAGTAATGCTTCACTATCGAATATTCGACACATAACCAATAATTATTATAAAAATATTTCTTTTGATCGGTCCATAAAGAAAACTAAAGGTTGATACTCGTCTAATTTTGTAGGTAGAAATACTCTAATCAAACGCATTACCATGATGATCTTTGATAGAAGTAACAGAGTGTCTGACAAATCGCTCATCACCAACGAAAAACATGCGGTACTTCTTATCGACATATCTAAATAGTGTTTCAATACTCTCTATGGTACAATCAAATCGAATACCTTGACACTGGGAGTAAAACACTGGAACAAAATTAAGTATTCAAAAGAAACTCTTATTATGTTATTCTTTTGAGAGAAACCATCAGGTCATGAGAAACTTCAATGAACATTGTTGTAAAATCAAGCTAAGCAAAGAAAGATTAGAAATACAAGAACTGCAATTACAAAGATGTTCAAATCAACAATCGTCAATTACATTCAAGATGAAAATGATAGAGATAATGCATATTTTCTTAGCGTTGCACTCATTTATTTCAATGTTGGCAAAAATGACATGCTTAGTCTCAGATTTTCATTAACATTTTGAAATCGAACATTTCAATAAAAAAAAATCACTTTTGATAAGAACGAAATAGAAATCTGCGGTTTTCACCTTTGGATACAGCAGAAGCATACACATCGAATTATATATAAAGACTTTTCTAATTATTTCCTTATAGATTTTACATAAAAGTTCAAGAAAAACAGCATGCTTCTCATTGTTTCGATTTTAATATATTGATTTTCAGGAATGCACTAGAGCCGCCAAAGGCATGGCTAGAAAACTATATCAACATTCTGTTCCTAACTACTATCAGTATGATATCCAAACCGTCGGAACACAATATACCGTCTCATTTTGTTCAACAAAATAATCGAAAAAAGGTCAATTTTTGTAGTATCTTGATAGAAAAGTCACTTTTTTCATGTAGAAGATAAAAGCAAGTGTTTGAAAACGCCTCAGTAAACATTTAGGAAAGTAGTTAGAAAAAAATTTCTATATATAATTCGATGCGTCTTCATCTGCTCTTCCCAACAGTGGAAACCGCAGATCTCGATCTGATTCCTACCAAAAATTATTCAAAAAATGCCCACGGTCATTTAACTCTGAAATGTACAATAGGTAATAGTACGCAGTAATAAAGTACGGATGAAATTCGCAACATTTCGTTTGTTGCAGAAAATTTTATTTTGATTAGTAAAACATTGCGTTATATATTTTTTTCGTTTTCGTCACATTCATGTTGTTTTGTAGCGACACTTACAATATTATATTCAAATAGACACATTATACAATGAACGATTGTAACTTTTCTATATTACATACTATAGATATATATAAATATTTCAGATTAAATATTGAAAGATGCTAATGTATATGATGAAGTTTATGCTTTAGTTAGTTATAACGACTAAAAATGGTGATTTATGCCAAAGTAATGGCCATTTCTAATATGGGCATGGCCAGTTGTGACGCAGACATGCTCATTTGAGCCGTAAGAATGGTCAGCTGTGCCATAGAAATGGTTGATTGTGCCATGAAAGTGGTGAACTGAGTCATTCTGGAAAATCATACATGGATCTTATAAGATTATATAAGATCTAACAGTAAGATCATATAGAATCGTACAATACGATTTTATCAGAAAAGTTGTCTTTGAGGTGAGCATATAGAATTTTACAAGATCATATATGCTTTTCATATGATCTTGTACGAATCGTATAAGATCATATAATAGGATTGTTTCACCTGAGAATTAAGCTCATCAAGATTTCGGAACTCACTCTCTAAAAAACTTGGATGATTATATTGAAAAGTTTATGTGAATAGGTCATATATTATCATGCTTCTATACACAAATACATAAGTTAAAATTTGAGTATCTCTGTACAATCACTCGATAGGCAGCTGATATTTTAATTCGTTAGTTTCTCGGTGAAAGTGATCATTTAGCCCGAATATGACCAATCTTTCTGCTCAGCACTATATACACGTCCACTGTGAGAAGTTCTGTGATCAGGTTAAATGATAAATTGAATCTCACTTCATTCGTTACTACTTAAGCGTCTAGAAAGTCACATTTAACCACATATTGTACTATTCAAGTATACGGCGACACCTATATCATTAAAAATATGTTTGTGAAACATGTGAGTAGCATATATCTCTGTCATAGAGGACCAATAATAAAATAATGTCGATGGATATGGATGAGTTGCCAGGGTCATACCTTGCCGTTGAAACTTGATACAAAAAAAGTAGAGCTTTTATTTTCAGCAACACGCTATCATTTTCATTAAATATGCATTATCTTTGTATTGTTTATTATATTTATTTCAGACTAGAATTGTTAGAACAATTCAACCTTTATCTGATGACATCAGTTGCGAATTGAACCAGAAACTAGATTTAGATTTATGCCATATTCTGTACAAACTATATAGTGTTTCCCTAAGATAGAATCTTCTGTAATTCTCAGAAGAGAGAGGTTATCTTATAATGATATCAAATATAGAAATTAAACTATGTTCTTTTTCAGTTTTAAGAAAAATTATGTGTGAATACATTAATTATCATGACATTGTTGTAAACATGTTTCCCGTTCTAAGTTCGAATGAGTTCACTGAGAACAGCTTTGCTTGTAAGGTAAGGTTATAGCAATGGAAGATTCTATGCACAGTTCATCAAAAGTCGTATAAAGACCATACCTGGTATTTTGCACTTGGTGTTATTCAATAAGTGTTTTTAGTAAAAACAACAAATTAATTGTCGTTCTGAGAAAGAACCTTATAAAACTATAGCATAATTTCTGTTGTAATATTCATTATTTAATTAAACACATTGTTCAACAACTACTAAGAATCATGGTGATAAAAACTTGTAGATATTCCTAGAGATGAAAATACTTGAACTTAATAACATGTAGAAAGATAGGTTTTTTCAGAATCAGTGTGATCTTATATGAACAGACAAAATTTAAAAAAAAACAATTTATTGTGTTCATCTATCGTATAAAAAAATGCTAAAGAAAAATTTTCGAGTCTTATCAAATTTTGTTATTTTAGATATTCGATCAGAATTTTAACTTTATTAATTATTTTCTGTTTGAATATTAAAATCTTTCAAATTATTTTTGTATCAAAATGACTAAAGACTTTCACAAAAAGGAAAAAAAAGAAAAATTATCTAGGAAATAATCTTTCATATAAAATATATGTATAAGAACTTATTAAACGCATCGCTAGATGCTTTTCGACTTAGTTCTGATTGATGTTATAAGCCAAAGTTTATAATCTTGAATAGAACTCAATTGTTTTTCGTTGTTTTCTTGTGACTTTTGGTAGCATTTTACCATGCATTGTATGTTCCTTTTTTTTGTTGCGCTTGTCTTTAGATTTATTGGCAATACAAAAAGATAAAACAATGGCATCTGCCATTGATATGACTGTTCAACTATCTTGGCTAGGAGGTAATGAGCTGATCAATTTAAAAAGTATTCCATTATTAATCACGGTAGAGGAGTTGAAAAAAAAATTACATGCACCTCCAAATGCACTGTTTGGGCGGTTAAATAAGTTTGAAAATTGGGATAATCGACGAACATTGTCGGATTATTTTGTCAATAAATGATGAATCCTTCCAGTGTGCCATTCAATGTGCTGTAGAAAATGGACAAAGTTCTTTCGATGATTATAATGAATGGTTAGCAGCTAATCAATAGTGAGCAGACTAACAAATTCAACAACAGTTATAATTAAGAAAATACTTTCATTTTATTTATTTATCTAAAATATTCTATGATCCTCTTTTTTAATCTCGAATAAACTATTTTCGAAAGTTTCTATATTTTTTACTTCAGTTAGCCATTAAATGCCAATACTGTTTTGACATTTGATTTCATTTTTCATCAAAATGTTACCGAATTTTGAATAAGATAACATATGAGAAAAGTTCAATAAAATGAAGATATCAATAACATTTTTAATATATCAAAACAAGAAAACATTAGAAAAACTTACGATAGAATATATAGATGTAAAGTCTTTAGTGTCTTTTTTGCACAATTAATATTTTGTTTCAAGTACAGGAAAATCTCATTTATGTGAACTTCAACAAGACCATGGAAATATTTTCATTACAGAGAGATGTTCACTTTATAGAGTTAAATTTATTCTCTTGCTCATCCGTTTTCATCTAAATGGTTTGTATTGACAGATTTTTCAACTAAAACACAAAATTTTATTATCTTTTAAAAAAGATTCTCTAATATGCTATAGTTTTCAGTCGATTCATATGGTGATAAATCACGAGCATTTTTTTCAAGGTAAGTTCATGTTATTATGTCACTCTCTACTTCATAGGTACAGCAGCGAATCGTACATAATGTATAAGAAGTAGATGAGAGAAAAGAGAAAGTAGTTTTAAAAACAAATATTCTTATTAGAGAGGTTATAACACAAAGAAAGTGTTCGCTTTTCATTAGTAGGGATTTGATTGTATTGCAGATGTCTGTTTTTTTTTTTGTAAGATGAGAATTATCATGGATTTATTAACCTATGGAAATACTAATGTCATTGCGAATTACGACCAATTATAAGAGCTTCTTCTAATCTTACAATTTTCTATTTTACATGTTCTATAGTCTAATCGAGAAAGGTTAAGAGTAAAACTGACTAAATCATTTAAGTAATTACATTTGATT